TTATTATTATTTTTAAGAAGTTTATTTTTAAGGATGATAAATTTTTAAGCTAATTTATTCTATTAGCCATTCAGTAAATGTATTTTGATCTTTTTGCATGTACCAAGTTTCAAGTTAATTAAAGTAACAGATATTATCCTTGCCTTTCTAAAGCTTGGCTTTATTGTAGCAGACAGACATTAAGCAAAAATTCAAAATATGATGAAATTTGCAGTTGTAGGGGACAAGTGTTTAATTACCTATTACCAAAACAAAACACAAAGGAAGAAGAAAAGAAAAAATAATGGTGCATAATTAAGACTGAGTATTTAGAAAAGATCTTTATTAAGATATACCATTTATCAGAGACCCGAATAATGGCCAGGAATGTGCAGGGTCAAGAGTGGGGGCAGTGGGAAGGGGAGTATAAAAGAATATTTCAAGCAAATGAAATCACTGTGGTGTGTGGGTGTGGGTGTGGCAGCTTAGTGCATTCAAAGAACTGAGAAGGCCAGTGTAGCTATAGCTTATTATTGAAGGTTGAAGGTACTGCATTGAAGAGTCAGGCAGGACGCAGATCACTGAGTAATTTATTACCAAGTTAAGGGTGTCTTATCTTAAAGATCATGGGAAACCACTGAAATATTTGAGCAGAGCAGTGCTAGACTGAATATCACTCTGGCTGATAAGGGTGCAAAACTGGAAATGCAAGCAGCTAGATAAAACACTCTTTTATGTACAAGTAAAAGATAATTTTGGCTTGATTTATCTATTGACAGTGGAGATGGAAAGAACAATTTCAAAACATATTTAGGCCTACTTTAAACAAGCTTTCTGTGTTAGTGTTAGAGGAAGAGAATGGAGCTGAGATGTTTTTACCTTTGGGGACTTGAGGCATTTGCTGAGTCTTAATTGATGTCTTTAAATTGTTTCTTTTCCTTGTCTCCTTTATTGCTTATAAGTCTTCCAAAGTAATAGCTACCAAACATTGTGCAGTTACTTTATACAACTACATAAATACATTATGTGTGATTTCAGAATCATTCAATAATCATCAGAACTGGTGATCAGAATACTCATTTATCTGCATCCTTCTTATAATCTTCCAATGGTATCACATTACCTTTTGTTTTCTCTTCCCTTCTCTCTGACTTTCAAACTAGCTTCTCAGTTATTCTGCTCTAGTCTTTGCTGAGCTTCCTCTTTTGTTCTCCCCAGGTTAGCCTCACAGATTCCTAGGCAAACATGGATTTTATTAAATGGCGTAAACAAGCCACATGACTTCATCTGTTTCCTAAATAACTCCTGTGCCATTTCCAGTGTGACTTCTCATTCTTCCTACCTTCCTTATGTATTTGTCGAATTGCCCAGTGATATTTGAGAACTGCATAAGCCACTACTTGTTTTGAAAATCAGTTTCAGTTAAGTCCTTTTGTGTCTATTATAAAAGTTTCATTTCCACCAGAACACAGAAATGAATGTTTTCTTTTATATTTTCTTGCAGAATGTGAATCAAGGTTGAGACCAAGAAATTATTTCTGGAAAAGGATATTTATGGAATAGAATCATCCTGATGGGAGATAATGGAAAGACTTATAAGAAACAGCCTTGAGTGTTCAAGTTTCAGAGGTGATTGGGAATTTAGAAGCCGTTTTGAGAGAAAACAGGAATCTCAGGAAGGACATATCATGATATTTACTCCTGAAGACATGCCCACTTTTGATACCCAGCATCAAAGAATTCATACTGATGAGAAACTCCTTGAATGTAAGGAATGTGGGAAAGATTTTAGTTTTGTGTCAGTCCTTATTCGACATCAGCGAATTCATACTGGTGAGAAACCTTATGAATGTAAAGAATGTGGCAAGGCTTTTGGTAGTGGTGCAAACCTTGCTTACCATCAAAGAATTCATACTGGTGAGAAACCTTATGAATGTAATGAATGTGGGAAGGCCTTTGGTAGTGGCTCAAACCTTACTCATCATCAGAGAATCCATACAGGTGAAAAACCTTATGAATGTAAAGAATGCGGGAAAGCCTTTAGTTTTGGATCAGGCCTTATTCGACATCAGATAATTCACAGTGGTGAAAAGCCTTATGAGTGTAAGGAATGTGGGAAGTCCTTTAGTTTTGAATCAGCCCTTACTCGGCATCACAGAATTCACACAGGTGAGAAACCTTATGAATGTAAGGACTGTGGGAAGGCCTTTGGCAGTGGTTCAAACCTTACTCAACATCAGAGAATTCATACAGGTGAGAAACCTTACGAATGTAAAGCATGTGGAATGGCTTTTAGTAGTGGTTCAGCCCTTACTCGGCATCAGAGAATTCATACTGGTGAGAAACCATATATATGTAATGAATGTGGGAAGGCTTTTGGCTTTGGATCAGCCCTTACTCGACATCTAAGGATTCACACTGGTGAGAAACCTTATGTATGTAAGGAATGTGGGAAGGCTTTTAACAGTGGCTCAGATCTCACTCAACATCAGAGAATTCACACCGGTGAAAAACCCTACGAGTGTAAGGAATGTGAGAAAGCCTTTAGAAGTGGTTCAAAACTTATTCAGCATCAAAGAATACACACTGGTGAAAAACCCTATGAGTGTAGGGAATGTGGGAAAGCCTTTGGTAGTGTTTCAGACCTCACTCAACATCAGAGAATTCACACTGGTGAAAAACCCTATGAGTGTAAAGAATGTGGGAAGGCCTTTAGTTGTGGCTCGGCTCTTAATCGGCACCAGCGAGTACACACAGGTGAGAAACCCTATGAATGTAAGGCATGTGGGAAGGCTTTTGGGAGGGGTTCAGAGATTCAACAACATAAGAAAAGTCATACTGGTGAGGAGCTCTGTGAATTGGAAACCGTATAAATTGGAAGGACACATAAGGAAATCATGCTAGTGAGAGTCCCTACAAATGTAATTAAGGTACATTAGTTTTGCTTTACTACTTAGTCTGAGAGAATTAATATAGAAAAAAACTGAATAAAATAAATATTTGGAGATCTTCATTACTTTTGGAAAATTCATACTTGTGAATATTAAAAATTGAAAAACCTTTTACTATATTTTGGCTTTATTTTAAACATTGAAAAATTTGTGTGTGGGCTAATTCTGCTACTTTTATTATTTTTTAATGTTCTTTACTTTTTGTGGATTATACAAAATTACCAGTCCACCTCAAAATTATCTTAAATTTTTTTACTGAGGGTATAAATTTACCCTTCTTACCTCCCCCATTTCTCATCCTCCCAGAATTTATTCAATAACCATATCTATTTTTGTACTTTTTTTCATTGCCTCCTTGATAGTAAGTAATATTTTTATACATGTAAGCCTTGGCTATAAGGTCAGTCTTTGTTTTTTAAAGTTGCATATCTGTCTTTGGATCTGTTTCACCCTGTTTGCACTAAGTTACTGTTACTTTTGTAAGTATCCTTTAATATCTTATGAATCTATACCTTTTGTTTTGGAAGGTTGTTTTATTTTCCTTTTATAAAATTTATACTTTTCTTTTTACAAAGCGATTTTCTTTTATAAAAATAAAAAAGTAGATACAGTTACTTGTAATCTTACCATTCATAGATAATTACTCAAATTTTTGGAGCCAACCTTTTAAGACGATATGTTTTTGTTTTTGAAGGAAAGTGTGATTATGATTATACTATAACTAGCTTTTAATATTCTTTGTAAATGTATTGTTGCTATTTTATTGGCTTGAAAGTATTCACTTGTCTTTATCGAACCCATATTTTGTCAAATATTGAAAAATTTGCCATTATAAAGAGTTACCTTGATGGCCCCTTTTGAATGTGTCTGCTTTATTTATTGTGCTTTTCAGATAATGTGTGGATATCTTCTGCTTTTATAGTTATACATTATAGGTAAAACTGTGTTTCCCTTTGACCAACATCCTGACCTCAGTTATTTCCTTATTAACCAACTTACTTCTACTTCCAGATCCTTTTATATGCATATATAATGTGTTTGTGGTAATGTGAGCATAATTAATGTACTTCAGAGGCTTATTATGTGGATTTCATAATTGTGCCTCTCTCATAGTAATTGGTTAGTATTAGCCATCACCATTATCTTCTCAATCTCTGTTATGTATGGAAAAACTTTTAACTGTGATCCATATCTCACTCAATATCAAAGACATCATAATGGAAAAAAGACATTTATGTAAATGAATAAAGGACAACTTGTAATCAACATTCATTCCTTATTGAAAAGGGATAATTCATCTTAAAGAAAAATAAGATTGTAAAGTGTAAGAAGGCAAAATGCATCATAAAATTTCCCAAGGTGAAAATAATAATAAGGTAGCTACTTCATAAAAACCTGAATACTGAGGCATGAAGATGCCCCTATTTTGCCCCCATCCCTTTTAACAACGAAAATTGGGTATCCATCTACAAACAAAAGTGCCTCTGTGGGAGCTATGGAATCCAACACCATACACCAAGGGAGCTGAGAGGAGTGTTGTCCACCTGTGCATCAGCAAACAGTCCTTAGTACAGACTGTGGAACCAGCAGGAGTCTGAACAAGCCCCAGCCCTTCTTGGTCACAGTCAGGGAGCCTGACAACCTGGAGAGTGTTGATTTTGGCAGACATCACAGACATTCATATGTTTGGCATTCATATGTATGTATATATGCCAAAAAAGAATNCGGCCTGCCCTTTCATCTATCTTTTAACCCTTCTAATTATTTGTTCTTAGTCCCACTTTCTAAGAATTCTTTTTAGTGTCATTCCTTTTATGTTACCCTATTCTTCTATCATGTGAAATTTGTTTTTTTTTATTTTTATTGGGTAACAGTGTGTTTTTTTCCAGGACCCATGAGCTCCAAGTCAAGTCGTTGTTTTTCAGTATAGTTGTAGAGGGCACAGCTCAGCTCCAAGTCCAGTCACCATTTTCAATCTAGTTGTGGGGGACGTAGCCCACCATCCCATGTGGGAATCGAACCAGCAACCTTCTTGTTAAGAGCACGCACTCTAACCAACTGAGCCATCCGGCCACCCACCGGCAACTCAGCGGCAGCTCAGCTCAAGTTGTTGTCTTCAGTCTAGTTGCAGAGGGCGCAGCTCACTGGCCCATGTGGGAATTGAACTGGCAACCTTGTTGTTCAGAGCATGTGCCACCCAGCCTCCCCTATCATGAGAAATATTAATAGCTTTTCATATCCCACTGAGGATATTAATGGTGGCTTCTGGAATTGTCCTTGTTTTTCTGTGTAGTTTCTCTTCTAAGTTCCTTTGGGCTTTGTTTAATCTCTTATACATTACAAGCTTTCCTCAAATATGTATGACATTTGCCTATCTGTATTTTAGAGTGGACACAGAGAGCAGAACAATTTAAAAAGAAAAATTTCAAAACATGACTTTTTATATTCCAACTGGTAGACTTTCTTAGGGATATAATGCCCCCATTTTTTAAGCCTTCTGGAGGTTCTGCAGTATAAATCATCCCCTTCTGGGTTTTCCTTACCTTTGGGTTAGGTTTCATTTGTTTTGGTTTGTTAAGTTAGTCATCATTTATCTTTTTTTTTTTTAAGATTTTTTNTATTTTAATGTGCTAAATAGATCCACTATAATAATTGTTAACATCCCCATGACTATTTTTAACTACAAATTTGTACTTCTTAATCCCTTTAACTTTTTCACCCTGACCCCCAAGTCCCCTCCCATTTATCACCCCGATAAATCTAGTACCCATTTGACACCATACATAGTAATCATAATATTATTGACTATATTCCTTATGCTATACCCTACATCCTCATGATTGGTTACTTTGTACCAATTTGTACTTCTCAATTTCTTCCCATTTTTCACTCACCCCCAAACCCCCTCCCATCTGGCAGCCATCAAAATGATCTCTGTATCTATGAGTTTGTTTCTGTTTTGCTTGTTCATTTTGTTTTTTAGATTCCACATATAAGTGAAATCACATTGCATGTCTTTGTCTGACATACTCCACTCAGCACAATACCCTCCAGGTTCATCCATGCTGCTGCAAATGGCAAGAACCCCCTCCCATTCTTGGCCAAGAAATATTCCATTGTATATATGTACCACCTACTCTTTATCCATTCATCTATAGACAAACACCCAGGCTGCCTCCGCATCTTGGCCATTATGTTATGGGAAATGATGTTGTACCTCCGCCCTTGTCTTCTTGAAGGAAATAGTTCAGTCAAGAGACAGGGTTTGTGCAATAGGGCAGCAAAAGTTTATTAGTGTAAGCGAGTGCACTCCAAGACATGGAGTGGTCTGACACTAGAGAGGAAAGTAGCCTCTCCTTACATTGTGTGAGGGTTTTTATCTCTATGGTTAGAAATGTCTCTCCCTCTCTATTATCTTTCTCTCTCTGCAATATGTCCTGTCTTCCCCTCTTGTTCTCCAGATTGTTTGTCAGAGCATAAGTGTGAACCTGTTACTTTCCCATGATTTATTTGAGAAGCTCATTAAAAATGGTCCTGAGAAGCAGGATGTATATTCTGATAAGTGGGATGGTTTCTCTCCCTCTCCAGCATTCCCCCTTTTTCTAACAACATATTCTTGTTCTCAATATTTTGCTGAGCAAACAAGGTGTTTGTGCCCCAAGTGAGAGAAGCTGCAAGGGGCCTTATTCCAAGTAGGAGCAGCTGCAAGGGGCTTCCTAACCAGGGTTAGTTCCCTCCTTCTGCTCATTTCTATCTTTCTACCTACCTAGTCGTAAACAATGCTGCGATGAACATATGAATGTATCTGTCCCCTCAAAGTAGCATTTTGGGTTTCTTTGGATAAATACCATGAAGTGGGATTACTGGGCCCTTCTTTGTTTCTTGGTATAGCCTTTGTTTTAAAGTCTGTTTTGTTTGGCATAAGTATTGATACCTCATCTTTGTTTGTTTATTTCCATTTTTGTGAAATATCTTTTTCCCATCTCTTTACTTAGTCTCTGTGTGCCTTTCAATCTGAAGTGAGTCTCTTGTAGGTCGCTTATGTAATGATCTTGTTTTCTTATCCATTCAACCATCCTATATTTTGATTGGNTAGGGTGTAGGTTAGGAAAAAGGCAGTTAAGAATATCAGAGTTCAGCCTAGAAAAGGAACTTGCTCCATTATTTGAAGAATTAAGACAAATTTTGGAAGTTTCTTAATCTGACGGTGGTTTTGATGTTTACCTTATCTTCATTATAACAAACATGGGTCCAATATGGGTCCAAACTTTAGACAACAATACTTATATCCATGTACTCAAAAGCAATGGCCCCTTCTTCCACCTTACACTAAAGAAAGAGCCTATAGATAGATATAGTTTATGGATAGATTGATTATCTTTTCTTGTATAGGATCTTTTCTTGTTTACTGAGATCTGGGGATACCGCAGAAATGGTTCAGTCTGTCACAGCTCCCATGGAGTTGTCCAGTCACCAAATCTGCATGAGATTGTTTTTGGTGGATCAGAATCAAAATGGCACTTTAATCCATTGAGCCATGATGTGTCCTTATTGTACAATACACCCAGACCTGCAGAATGGAGCAGGTCCTTTTTATTGCGAATAATAATGACCTGGGTTTTTTTTTGTCATATTGTTTTATTTCTTGCACTGAGTGTTAGGAAGATACAATGGCTTAGTAAAAGTAATACAATCAGTATAAAACAAATCTGTTATTCTCTAGAGTATTTGAGATCTTGCTTCCATGGCATATGTCATTAGTTTGGGCTCAAATAAGCTCTTATAAAAAATTCTCTGCAGGTTTGGATGTTTCTTACATTAACAAGACCCAGGCCTCTTGGTAAAGCCTTTTTGCATGTCTAAATGGGGATTTTTACAAACTTTTAACCTCGTGGGATTGGGAGGATTAACTGAGTTAATCCAGGTAAAGTTCTTAGAACAGTGCTTGGCAGAAGACTGAATAAGTACTTATTATTATTATTATTATTATTATTATTATTATCATCATCTCAAGTCCTGACAGATCTGAGACCTCCACCACTGCTGGAATGTCTCCTGAAGAACACGTATTTATTAAATTTCTGTTAAGCTCTTCTAGGGAAACTAGAATTAAAGAGCACCAACTTTTTACAGGCTGAAGGCACTTAACATATATTAACTCTTTTACTCCTCACAATAATTCTAAAAAAGTCACCATTATTATCCACACTTTATAGATGGGAAACGGGCTCCACAAGACCAAGTAAGGTGAAGCCCAAGATTTCCTGGCAAATGACTGGCTTAGATTTGGAAAAGTCTGACTAAATCTGGTCCTTATTTCACATCACGGGCATGTGTGTGTGAGGGATCATAAATCCCCGCCATGTACGTGCTGCATGTTCTGCGCTTCCCTAAGCCTCCGTCTGCCCAGCGTGTGCCATCCGCAAGGCTTGCCTGTCCTTAGGTAGAGCCTTTTTCAAGTCACAGATATTCTACAGAGTCTCAGCAGCCCTGGGAATCTTACGTCTTGTACCAAATTCAAGTCACCTATGAACACTGTCATCAAGATTGCATGCTTTGAATTCCAAAGATTTTATAATCTCAAACTCAGTGGGCTGGAATTGTACATGTGAGGTGCCTGAGAGTGTCAGGAAAGAGGGAGGAGACTAGGGTGAGGTGAGAGAGGTTCCTGGGACAAAACTTTAAGGAGACATCACTCTCAGGTTCCTGCAAGTGCCGAAGTGGCATTGAGAGTGCTGCCCCCTGCCATTTCCTGTCCCAGGCTTCTCTCCTCACTGGAATCCTGGTCCTGTCAGTAAACACTGACTAGCTCGGGATACCTGTGTGGGTACAATGGACAGTAGAAGAACGGTTTGAAGCCAAATCAGAAAGAGCCTTCAGAGTTGTCATACCTGAGAATTTGCATGTGCTTCATGGGTAAGTGTTTCTCTAAGTGTGGTGTTAGGATCATCCGTTGTTTTAACTTCAGAATTCCCAAAGTGATTAGAAAGGTCTTTTCTACAGAGAATACATGTTAGCCTGGCTGAGTCCTCTGCAAAACTTCTTCCTCTTCAGGAAAAAGATAAATGAGATAATGTCGGTAAAGACATGCAGTAAAGTTATTGTGAGGTCTGCACGTTTATTATTATATTTTAGCATACACATTGTGATGTTTTGTGTGAACCATTTATATTAATGTCACCCAGATGCTGCCAGCATTCTAATCCAGAAGGCACAAGCCAATAACAACCAAATGCAAGGCAAA